TGTTCTAAATTGTCGTAAAATTGTCCTGGCCCTTTCTATTCTCATATCAGCGCCTTCGATAATTGTATATTGATCGAAATATGAGAGCTCGACGCCATTTTGGTTCAGGTCTGGACTGAGTTGAAGAAATTTTTTTAAAAAATCCAAATTTTCAATGTGTCAGGACAATTCTTAGATGATCAGGAGTGACGTGTCAAAGTTTCAGACAGTTTGGTCTAATACCCTTAAAAAAAAGTGTTGTATTCGAATCGACTGATTTGAAGGGGGTTTCACTTCACCTTAAGGCGCGTACAAACTTGCAACCTTGTCACGTTTAGCGAGCGGCAAACTTCGTCAGATAAAAGGAACATATCGTGAAACATATCTAGGAATATTCACAAGGATTCACACAGACACTAATACGACCAAATGAACAATAACTTACAATACGATTTTTTTGTACTTGGATTAGCGACGTGATCAACGTTGCGAAACATTTGGAGTCAGAGACGCGCACATGCAGGATATTACAGTAAGTTTAAAAGATTTTATGTATGCAAAGGTAATTCCATAAAGATTATTATTAATGCAGGATAGTAAAGAGAGAGGTGAGAGATTGTCAGTTGTGCTTCTTCTTATTAAAATATCACCACGCAACGTGATGATGTTGCGAGTCTGTACGCACCTTCAAGTACTTCCGAAAGTCTTAATATTTCACAAAATTGCAAAGAAAGACTGGGATCGGCTCCTTGAGGCTTGGGCTATCTTAAATAAATTTATACGTTAATGCATTATTTAATCATGGTGACATATAAAAATACACAACAATATTCCTGGTTAAAACACAACGACCCTATTCGTAAGTTTGTCACATGTCAGAATTTGCCAATTAGAGATTTGACCACGGTTGTATTTTATAATATTTATAAATAAATTTGATTTCTGCATGAGTGGCGCACGATACGGAAAAGCATTAAAGATAATAGCGTTTTCAACGGAACGCCTTTTGTTGGAAGCAACTTTTTACATTATGCAAAATGAAATAATAAATCTGTGATTATAAAAAATAGTGGAGGTTACTAGTGTAAACCTTTGTTTTAACCCGGTGGATAAAGACATGTAATTATTGTTTCATTATAGGGTGAATACTTGTTTCTAACATTACACTAAGAAAAATGTAAAACTGGAGGCGAATAAATTTTAGTCACATATGACCCTAGTAGACCTTCACTTATTTCCACATTTTTCGTTTAGTTTAAAGTATTTCACTTTAAATTCCCGTAAAGAAATAATTATTTCAACCATTGAAAATTTCACCCGAGTGAACTATCCGATTTTGTAAATAGGCACATTTATTTGATTTCAAGTACCTCACTTTTCTCAGTGTAATAAATTCTTTCTAATCGGGAGACTCGTTAGACATTTTTCATTTGCAGATCTCTACAACGATTTTGTAAAGAGGCACATTTATTTGATTTCAAGTACCTCACTTTTCTCAGTGTAATAAATTCTTTCTAATCGGGAGACTCGTTAGAAATTTTTCATTTGCAGATACCTACAACGGCTTTTGTTTTTCTTCGCCGTGGGGTGGATGAGATCGTTAAAAAGAATTTTTTTTGGGACTTAGGGTTAGTACTTTCACTCACGATTTGTCACGACTACCTTTAGTATTTTCTTGAGACTGCTACACCCTCGATTTAAGGTCTCATAATTTGCAGATTCAATCATTTTCAGACTGAAGCGAAGCATTAAGTCCAGCCAGCAAAGTCACTTTTTTCTCTACAACATTTATTTTCAGGAATACAATATTTGCAGGTGACGATATGATGCCCAGATTATAAAAGGCCTCGGATGATACGAAGTAAATTATTTTTTCCCCACCAAACACCGTTACCTAACAATAATATAACCGTTACATAACATTTGTAACATGTAACGTAACAAACATAATATAAAAGTAAGATTTGTATTATTACTTCCTCCGCAGCTATATAACCCTGTTATAAAACGAATAATGTAACGTATGCATAACATATCGGTAACATGTTATAGGTTATGTTAATATTATATAACTGCAATGCTAAGAAGTTTGTAACAATGTTACCGAACGATAATAATTCGACGTTATGTGATATTAACGTATCTTTTGAATAACATTATATATATCATGTTATTCCATTGTTATGTAATTGTAACATAGTGTGCTTGGTGGGTTCTGATTAATATTGTTAAACCACTTCTTTTTAGGGAATGTAATTCGCTACAAACTATAAGTTCGACTTGGTTGGCTGGTCTTAACTTTTTTTTCAACACCGAAGTTATTAAATTAGATATTTTCTATTGTTAGCCATATAAATAACATTTTTAGAGAAAAATATCACTCTGTGCAGCAATAATTCAGTAATTAATGCTTCTGAGCGAGCGACCTATTTTGAATATAACGTTGAGGAATGTGTTTTCGTTTTTTGTCTTTGTCCTCCCCCTTTTTGATATCCTAACTAATATTGTCTATTGTCCCAACGCGCGTAATTTGAATATCGTTAAAACACCAAGGGACACAGTTAAACCAGAGAAACGACGGTTTCTATTCCTTCGAGGATATAGAGACGTGCCCAACAACAATGTCTTGGAAATCGGTATAATTATTGTAAAACATCGAATTGCAGGCATTATTCTCTAAGGTATAGTCACGTTATTTGTAAATAGAGGAGCGATGTTAAGTTAAATGTTCTTTTTTTCCGACAGCGACGTTAATTTTTTAAGGATGTTTTGCAAGAATTGCTTCTCTTATTGCAGATAAATTCCATTTTGGTATTATAATCTGCATTTAAAATTATTTCTACAGACCTTGCACCATTTTAAGTAGGTAAAGTTCCATTGAATCAAGAATTAAGAAAAAATACTACCGATTCGTCTGAAAACTCGCAAATGGTAATCACGTTGTATTAAATTTAATATTTCGAGTTCTTTTTTAAATTGCATCTACAATTTTGCAAGAATTGCTTCTCTTATTGCAGATAAATTCCATTTGCGTATTGTAATCTGCATTTAAAATTATCTCTACAGACCTTGCACCATTTTGAGTAGGTAAAGTTCCATTGAATCAAGAATTACGAAAAAATACTATCGATTCGTCTGAAAACTCGCAAATGGTAATCACGTTGTATTAAATTTAATATTTCGAGTTCCTTTTTAAATTGCATCTACAATTTTGCAAGAATTGCTTCTCTTATTGCAGATAAATTCCATTTGCGTATTGTAATCTGCATTTAAAATTATCTCTACAGACCTTGCACCATTTTGAGTAGGTAAAGTTCCATTGAATTAAGATTTAAGAAAAAATACTATCGATTCGTCTGAAAACTCGCAAATGGTAATCACGTTGTATTAAATTTAATATTTCGCGTTCTTTTTTTAAATTGCACCTCCAATTACCCTCTACAAATTTGTAAGCGATTTAGAATCCAAACCAGTCATTATCTAGGAAGGGCAAATCTGCTCCATTGTATGTAAACAATAAACAAATTTTCTTTTACCATTCGGCTCGTCTGTGGATGGCGAATATATTTTTAATCATATATTTTATTATACATAAGTAGCGGATAATAATGCATTCGCTATCCCGAGATTCAACGAATGATAAATGAAAATTAACTCGTTGTTTATCCGTGTGTAAGAAACTGCCCAATTAACATCAATTTCTGATCTATATACGGGAATACTAATTATTTGGTTTGACAAAAGAAGCGCGAACGTACTTCTCTGTCCTTGCTAAATATGCATTACACTCGCAAAGTGCCTAATTACCGTTTGATTTGTTAATATAAAATCCACTGATTAATCTCGGTATGACACGTCAAAGTCAATTTTAACACGATGGAAGGGCTTAATTTCCGAATATGTAGCCAAAGAAGATTCTCATCGTCAGGTACTAATTTGATATCGGCTTTTATAGATTTCTTCCGTAGCGCACATTTTGTTTACAGCGACTTGTTTCGATGAAGTTTGATTAACCTTAAACATTATCTATAAGTGCATTATTTACTGTTAAGCTTGGGAAATCCGCTTCTCGATAAAGTTAAAACCTTTTATCTTCCCGCAGTTTTGGCCTGTAAAACTTTAAACAATACCTTCCAACACCGTCTAAACGAAAACAATATTTTTGATACGTGATAGTGTCAATTGATTTTCAAAATTCAGGCATAAGAAAGCCCTAGTAGCACAAAATATTTATCCTATATNTATTTATAAATTATTCCATGCTACTAGGGTTTATTGGAAATAGCGTGGGAAATAAAAGTCCCTATAACCGCGCCGATTTTGCCCAACCCAAAAGCGATTTCCCTAAAGTCCTTAAATAGTGCATCATTGCATAAAAAGTACTGAGGTTGTTATGGTTATTTGGATGGCAGGTAATAACCTGACGGTTCAACGACATCGCATCCAAATGACTTAAAATTTACGGAGTATTATCTTGCAAATCGAGTGTAAACCCAAATGCCTCGCTTTGGTACGAGTAGCTGCGTCCAATTGGTGGAGATGCATCCTTTCATATCTTTGTTTCTTTTTTTTTCTTTTGTAATAAGCGGCCGGTTGGTGTTCTTCGTTACATGTTCGTCTCGACGCGAAAGTTGACGTTCGCATGCGACATACTTATTGTTACAAGTAGAATTAGTACGCTTCACCCTAGGGCTAACATTTCCCGTCTTTCGGTGCATGTACATAGACGTCGAAATTTCCCATCTAACATCGATTGAATCACGACGAAGAGGTTGATAGGTAGATATACGCGACACTTAAGGTGATGTGAAAGTGGCGTCAAAGAAGTCTCGCTTACGAAACTTATCTCCAGTCAAAGTGTATGAAATCGTTTCAAAATTGAAAATGTAAATATGGAGGCTATAAGGGACGTCCTAAAACCCATAAAGTTCCAATTTTTAAAAATTTGGTTATAGGTATTTTCAAAATATTCTATAAAAAATGAAATTTCACGAGGTCTAGGACCTTCCTTATAGCCTCCGCGTTCAGGTTGTAAAGTTTAAATGATTCGGTACACCCAGTTCGTAAAACAATTTCATGAACGATTGAGCTTTCGGATGCCACTTTCACATCCCCTTAATGAACATCCCTTCCTTTCATCGATTAAACTGCGAGTACTAGGATTAGTCGTTACCGCCTCTAAGTATCATTCTGAAAAATATTCATTTTTTCGGATATGCCGAGACACACTGATTATCCCTATGACACGACAGCACCGCAATGAACAACGAATACGAAGGGAGTCGAACATCGATGATACGTCGAACATTTAGCACACCTATACCTCTGATTAATGAATTTTGAGAAAAGAATGTAATTTAAGTACGTGGTTGCCGCTGGGGATCGTTAAGGGGGTGTGAAAGTCGTATCTGAAAGGGGAATCATTCATGAAACTTTTCTATGAATTGAGTGTACCGCATAGTTTCAGACTTTGTAACGTGAACATGGAGACTATAAGGAAGGTGCTGACACCCATGAAATTTCATTTTTATACAAAATTTTAGAAATATTTCGAGAATTGAAATTTCACGGGTGTCAGAACCTTACTTATAGCCTTCGTAATCACATTGTAAAGTTTGAAACAATTCGGTACACCCATTTCGGAGAAAAGTTTCATAAACGAGGCCTCTTTGAGGCAACTTTCATACCCCCTTAATCGGCATTATATTCATTGCGTACCGTCGAGGTTTGCAAGCAATTGCGATTGGTACCCGGTTAAGTGTAACGTGAGAAAAATTGTGTGGGGGTGTGCGTGTGTAATAATATGCATATTCATATTATTTCTCGATCCCTTTTGTTTCCTTCCCAACTTTTGTCGCATTCTATGACGTCACAGATGGCATGGGGTAACCTAGCACGCGTTGAGACGCTTTTACCGAAAGTACACGATGTGATCCGTGAACTTTCTTTTATACAATGTGGATTATGTAATTGTCTATAATTTATAAAGTATCGAGTTATTCCGCAAAATGGGAGGACACAGTTTACGGTGAGAATTTTGACGACTATTTGATAGGCACCAAAGTAGGCAAACTTTGAATTTTTTTAGTGCCGTCTGATGTGAACGTACCAGAGAGTACCGCTTCTATTGTATGTACTATTACATTGTACTCTTTGATACACGAAACATACGACAGGGAAAAATTCTTAGGATGATGCAATGCACCAAATCATTGCACGCTTTGACGATCGTATCAGACACTTGTCAAATTCGTCTAACGTTGGGTTGCAATTTTTTTTTTTTCGATTTTTCTTCTTTAATTATTTTTTTACACGCATGTCCACGCAGGGTATGTTCACCTCGGGGAAGGTTCACTAGACGAGGTCGAACTTCCAAACCTTGTTCGGCCCGATCTCCGACACGTAGAGTGCAGTTCCGTTCGGGCAGACTGCGATTGAATGTGGTTTCTGGAACGACTGGGCGGGAAGTAAGATGATTAATAAATGAATGATGATTTTACAATTTATAAAAAATATGGAATTAAAATTAAACATCAATATATACGTATTGCATGCATAAATAATCATTATTGCTTACGCCGCTGAAAGGACCCCAGTGCCTCGCTAAGTCTTCAACTTTGGTGCTCATCGTGAAGCCCCGAATCGGAATAACCGGCGATGTTGGGCCATTGACGGCATAGATGTAATTACCTGGGTAATTAATATTACAATAATTAATTCATCAGATATTTTAAAATTCTTAAGTAAATTATTACTAGTTGATATTGTTTCCTTGCATCCACAGGAAGTCGGACTACAATTTTGTTACGTTAAACGGAGAAATTCTTCGTCTTGAGTGTTTTAGCCTTAAAGTCGTTGCTAATGCAACCGCCCTAGTACCATACAATAATTTCTAAATATTTCTCTGTAATCTTTGCTAAATATATTAAGCGACAGATTTTTCAAGATTTCTTCTAGATTTCATTCGAAGATATTTGAAATATTTGTTGAAAATCTCAATGACATATTTAGTTTCAATAATTTATAAACATATAGAGGAATTATTTTTTTAATTTATGAACATACAATAAAAATACATTTCTTTTACTTCACGACTATTGTCGGACACTTCATTTGGTATCAAAAAACACGAGAAATTTTTCTAATACTTTCATTCCGTTATGTCATTATAAGAGCAAAACGTGTGATTTTGATTTTAAATATTTTTAAAACGTTTATAACGTATTCGGCAGATAATATTAANGGCCCTAATTGACTGCAGAGGGACCCCCTGCGCCATCTGTGATTTCCAGGTCAATTAAATTTTCACTCCGAGACCCCGTATTACCATCGTTTTAGCATAGAAGCGCATACAACTCTTTTTTTGCCTTTATCCCGTTCAAATACGAGTTTATCGATTACCAGAGTGTTCTAAATTGTCGTAAAATTGTCCTGACCCTTTCGCTTCTCATATCAGAGCCTTCAATAATTGTATATTGATCGAAATATGAGAGATCGACGTTATTTTGGTTCTGGTCTGGGCTAAGCTACAAAATTTGTTCCAGAAATCCAAATTTTGAAAGTGTCGGGATAGTTCCTAGCTGCTCACGAGTGGTGTGTCAAAGTTTCAGACAGTTCAATTCAATATCCTTAAGAAAAGTGTCTTATTCGAATCGACTGATTTAAGGGGTGTTTCACTTCACCTTAAATTAACTTGACAAAGTCCGAGGTCTCGTAATTACAAAAAAGTGAAGGTAACGCGAAACCGGAGAAGGAACCGCGAATACGGCTTTACTTTAACGCCCTGGGCCGATATTATACGGTTAATTACTCGCAGCCGGTAAGCACTCATAATTGCATCAACAGCGCCGACGGACGTAATTGCGTAATTGCATAACGGAGCTATGCCCTCGTCCGCACGTGCGTACATACCAGGTGTATAAGCTTAAATCCGCTGTTTTTTAGTCAGAAAAACACATGTTTTTTTCATTGAAAGCGAAGAAATAATTTGTTCAAAGTACTGGCCCTCGCCAGCAAACATTTGTCCCATCTCTCGGGCAATTTATGGATACCACGCCAAAAAAATTCCTTTACTTTCGAGGCAAACCACTCATCAAGCCATTGTTGGACCTCTTCGTAAGAATCGAAGTGTTACTCAGCGAGTGCGTGGCCCATCGACGAAAACAGGTCGTAGTCGGAAGGGGCCAGGTCTGGGGAATAAGCGGCGTGGGGTAGCACCTCCCAGTTGAGGGCCTCCAAGTAGTTTCGGACCATTTTTGACGGGTGCGATGGGGCGTTGTCGTGGAGAAAAATCAGCTTGTCATATCTTTGCTGGTAATCCGGCCTCTTTTCACGCAAGGCACGGGGCAATTTGATCAGTTGTTGGTGGGAGCGGTGGGCGTTGACAGTTCCACCGGGTTTTAACGGCCCATAGTAGACGATACCCTGCTGATCCCACCAAACGCACAGCATCGTCTTCTGTCCGAAGCGATTTGATCAGTTGTTGATGGGAGCGGTGGGCATTGACAGTTTCACCGGGTTTCAACAGCCCATAGTAGACGATACCCTGCTGATCCCACCAAACGCACAGCATCGTCTTCCGTCCGAAGCGATTTGTTCTTGCGGACGATTTTGATGGTTGGTCGGGATCAACCCACGATTTCTTGCGTTTAGGATTCTCGAAAAATATTCACTTTTCATCGGCAGTCACAATCTGATGCAGGAACGACTTTCTTTTTTGTCTGGCGAGTAAGATTTCGCATGTGTTTTGGCGTAGCTCCATCTGCCTATCGGTCAATTCATGCGGCACCTATTTTCAGATCTTTTGAACCTTTCCCATGGCACGTAGGCGCATGGAAATGGCTGGTTGAGTAACATCCAATTGCTCGGCAAGCATTTTTTGCGATTGGGTATCGTCCTCGTCCAAAAGAGCCTGCAATTGATGGTCCTCAACCTTCCTGGGCCGACTTTCACGCTTTTTGTCGCTCAGGTCAAAATTGCCGTCTTCAAACCGACGAAACCAATCTCTGCACGTTTCCAATGAGGCACTGTCGCCGTAGGCCACCACAAGCATTCGATGCGATTCGGCAGCCGATTTCTTCCAATTGAAGCAAAAAAGTAGAGCTTCTCGCATATGCTCTTTTTCTGTCAAGAACTAGCCCTAATTACCAATGGAAAAATTTATGCGTTGTATGAAATTGCTGATGATGCACACTGATTATTGTTGACAGATGTCAAACTCATACAAAACAAAAGTATGGCGTGTCTATAGTAACTTGTTATGCTCCCTAACGCAATCTATGAGCAATCGACGGATTTAAACGTATACACCTGGTATGTCCATATACTTCCAGGGCTTTGCGTATATAGTGTTATGCAATTTCCCACGTAAAAGTTCACGCGCTGATGCTGGACCTAGGTGTCATTTCTCGGTAAAGACCCTATTCCCCCTTTCCTTTCCTGAGATTTGACCACGTAAGGTCTTCTAACTTCAATGAAGGAATCGCAAAAGACAAAATGCGGCATTCGTTAAGCAGCCATCGAACTGAGTAAGTCTCTTGCCCTTCGAAACTTCTTTTCGAACACTGTAACTGATTGGATCTCAACAAAGAGCCCAAACGTATAAATTACTATTATAATAAATTGTATTTTACTGTGAGCGTATGAAGAAATTCATAACAATAGATATGTACATACGCGACACGGTACGTACCATCTGATGCCACTGCGAAAACTCTGCCGAGGTCGGGCCTCTGAAATGTGAACGTTGGATCGCGTGATCTTTCAGTTCCGTTTAGGCCGATGTTCAGACAAATTACTCTCATGTTTTCACGATCGGCCACGCAAACATCCCCCTTATCCAGGATGGTCAGAGCATGGGGTACTTGCAGAGACAGATGGTCTGAAAAGATTTCATTTCGATTTAACGAGGTGATGGTATCATCTAAAACGCTAAGTAAGAAAAGATTTCTTTAGATTTGATATAGTGTTGATATATATTTTTTTTAATGTTTTGTAGAGTCACAGAATTATATAGGTTGGAAATAAAGTGTAAGTAGTTGCCTCCGGGTTGGGGAATTATATCCAGTAGTTCTCCAGAAGGGTTGAACAACATGATCCTATTGTTGCAATATCCGTCAGCTATGACAATTTTGCCGGTTTTGGAGACGGCTACCGAGGTTGGTTGACAAAAATGCGTCGCGTCATATCCTGGCTCGAATCGCCGACCAAGGATCAAATTTGGGGTCTTGGAACCTTTTAGGAACTGAAATAGAGATTTTTCTTCATAACTTTTAAGTTTTCATTTTTTAAAGCCTTTAATTAATAGCTCTCAGTCTCTTAAGGTGATGTGAAACACGTCGAGGAACTTGATCGACGTCGGTAACAAAAGTTTTTCTAAATACCTACGTTGCCGATGTTCGTTTTTATATTGGCAGCTGTGTCGTATTATATTGAGTATTGTACTAAATGGCACACTCCATCTGTCGTTTTCATACGATAATTATAAAGAAATCGAAGTAAAACTCCAGAAATCCTCTGAACTCATACGTTCTGAGGCCCTAATTGACTGCAGAGGGACCCTCTGCGCCATCTGTGATTTCCGCGTCAACTAAATTTTTACTCCGAGACCTTGTATTACCATCGTTTTAGCATAGAAGCGCATAAGACACCTTTTTTGTCTTTATCCCGTTCAAATGCAAGTTTCTCGATTACCAAAGTGTTCTAAATTGTCGTACAATTGTCCTGACTTTTTCCTAATAATTATTCTTTGATTCTGCAGTAAATATATTGCGGAAATGATTTACGCGATCTTATTTTACGCGGTCAGATATGTATATACATACATACTTTCCTATAAGTTTTAAAATTGACAATTTTATACAGTCAGGATTGTGAAATTAGTGGGCGGAACGCGTGACACAAAAAAAAAACTTTCCTAGTAGCATAGAATAATTTCTAAATATTTGTTAGTTATCTTTGCTAAATATCTCAAGCGACAGATTTTTTAAGATTTCTTGTAGATTTCATTCGAAGATATTTGAAATATTTCTTGAAAATCTCAATGACATATTTAGTTTCAATAATTTATAAACATATAGAGAAATTATATTTTTTAACTTATTAACATAATAAAAATACATTTTTTACTTCACGACTATTATCGGACACTTCATTTGGTATCAAAAAACACGAGAAATTTTTCTAATATTTTCGTTCCGCTATTTCATTATGGGAGCAAAACGTGTGATTTTGATTTTAAATATTTTTAAAACGTTTATAATGTATTCGGCAGATAATATTTAAAAAATACTTGTATTAAAATGAAACAAAATGTTTTTTATATCTGGTAGAAAAATATTATGAAAACACATGGAGCTAATATTATATAAATATTATAGGGATAATATTCTGAAGTAAACGTTTTGCCAATATTTCAAATGTCTGGTAAATATTTACAAAATGTACGATATTCGTTAAATATATAGAAAATATAGGATAAATATTTTATGCTACTAGGGTTTGTTGCGTTAGACCCGTACAAGGCATTGTCTTTGGCCGCTGGGCCGTTGTGCGGAAGCGAACAGGGTGACTTTGGACATTGAGAGGACGATATCGTTACTATACCGTTTAGATTAATAATTTATATTTTTAAATTTTACCCCAGTCATATCTAACAAACTTTCAATCACACGAAAGAAGAGAAAGTTGAGGTCTTTGGACGTGAAAATGAAAATTTTTAACCCACTTGAAGAAGGAGAAAAACCTACAGCGATTGCTAAAGCATAAGCTCTTCAGTTAGCCAAAAAATTGGAATATGCCATTATAGACAATGATCCAAACATTCAAAGAACCTTAGTTTCGTCAAAATTTAATGAAATGTTGCAGCGTATATCAGTAAATTTATGAAAACTTAGTAACAGAAAATATTGAGAAAAACTTATCTGAAAAAATTTACATTCACGATGCAAATGAAGACGAACTTCCAAATATTTCAAGCAATGATGATGAGTTTATGCCAATTAAAAAGAAAAGGCTTATTGTTTTGAATTACAGGAGCGATAGTGACATCGAATAAAACTGACATACTTCTGTTTTCTAAAATGTCTTACTTATTTCTTTTTTCGTTAAGTTATGTGAACTAAATCTATACACATGTATTTCTAAAACTTTTACTAGCTTTTATTTCCAATATTCTTCCTTTTATATTGACGGATTCAATTTACCCGATTTTTATTCGCGTAAATCAAATCTACGTGGAACAGATATTCGCGCAAATTGAGGGACAGGTGTATATGATTGTCCACCGGGCGGACATTCTGCGTTCGTTGAATGTTGTATACTTTACTGCATACCTTATACTTATACACTGTATACCTTAAATATTTGCATCATATTCCGGGAACAACGGTCATTTGGGTAGTGAATTTACCTTGAAGACTTGGTGCAGAGCAATGTCCGTTAACCACACATTTCCGAAATGGTCCACGTGGATTCCATGGGGCATATAGAACATGTTACCTCCCCAACTGTCCTCGACATCGCCTGTGTAAGGATTTAATGTCAAAACGGTATCCTGCTGTATTGGCCCACGAAATTCCTCTCGGTATTGGAAGTAACTGTTGAAGGTTCTGTGCATGGAAAAAGAAACTCATTTCATCTGCCTTTACAAGAAACAGCAAAAGACGTAAACAATCATGATTATACGAAGCCGCTAGTGTATTCTTACGGCAGCAAATTAGAACTTTGCTCTAGTGAACTAGAAGGTTGAGCGTAACAAATTTTTCACTTTTTTCAAAAGATCATTTGCCCAAGAATTCAACATTGGGTTGTCTTTAGATTCCAAATTGCGCCAATTAGATTACATTTCTTGGCAATGCATTTTATGTTATTCGATATGGAGGATTTTGTGCTCTACGCGTTAAAAAGAAATATCGAATAAAGTGCAATTTTAAGTTAGGTAAAATAGAAACTTACTGATAGTCCCAAATTCGATCTCCGCGATGGAACACTACTGGTTTTCCGGAAGGGTCCACGGAAACTCCAGAAATTTGTCCTAGATTTTGGGGTCCTCGCCATATTCGGTTCTCAATGAGCTGCGGCACCGAGATTTGATCAGCTACTGATTGTATGGCCTGTCAAAAATTATGGAAAATTATTCTCTAAAACGAAACTGGACAACTTTACCTTCATAAGTAACAAGTTCCTTCCTCATTCCCTGTCATCTTCTTACTTGTGAAACACGTCGAGGAAATTCATCGACGTCGGTAAAGAAGATTTTTCTAAATCCCTACTTTGCCAACGTTCATTTTTAATATCGACAGCTGTGTCGAAGTATATTGGGTATTGTACTAAATGGCATACATCACCTGTCGTTTTCGTACAATCATTATAAGGAAATTGAAGTAAAAAACTAGAAATCCTCTGGATTCATGGTTTCTTAGGCCCTAATTGACTGCAGAGGGATCCCCTGCGCCATCTGTGATTTTCGTGTCAACTAAATTTTCTGAACTTGTGAAACACGTCGAGGAATTTCATCGATGTCGGTAAAGAAAATTTTTCTAAATCCCTATTTTGTCAACGTTCATTTTTAATATCGACAGCTGTGTCGAAGTATATTGGGTATTGTACTAAATGGCATACACTACCTGTCGTTTTCGTACAATAATTATAAGGAAATTGAAGTAAAAAACTATAAATCCTCTGGATTCATGGTTTCTTAGGCCCTAATTGACTGCAGAGGGACAGGAAAAGTTTTATGAACGATTGAGCTTTCGGATGCCACTTTCACATCGCCTTAAGGGAATGTAAAAGCAGCATCTGAAATCTCAATCGTTCATGAAACTTTACTCCGAACTGGGTGTATCGAATCATTTTAAACTTTACAACGTGAATATGAAGAGTCTAAGGTAGGTCCCGAAACTCGCAAAATTTCATTTTTTGTAAAACAATTTTGAAAATTTACTCCGAACTGGGTGTATCGAATCATTTTAAACTTTACAACGTGAATATGAAGACCCTAAGGTAGGTCCCGAAACTCGCAAAATTTCATTTTTTGTAAAACAATTTTGAAAATATCTATAAACATATTTTTAAAGAATTAAAATTGTATGGGTGTCAGGACCTTCTTTCTAGCTTCCATACTCACATTGTCAAGTTTCAAACAATTCGGTATACTCAGTTCGGAGAAAAGTTTCATAAACGAGACCTCTTTGACGTCACTTTCACATCGCCTTAATCTGACGAAATGTAAAGAAAATATTGCACTAGAAAATAAATTGGACGTGCGCAGACGGGATGCAAGTGTACCGGAAAGTGAGAAAGTTCCGAACTTACACGAAACAGTCCCAGAAGAAGTTCGTCCTCCCCAGGACAATCTAAGCTGGTCCGGGGTTGGTTCTCTTCGACGAAGTTGTCCTCAAGGCCCGACCGAGGAAGGCTAATGGTTTCAACCCCGAAGATGGGTATCGCGAGCACTGGAAGGACCCTCAACAGCTGAACGACAATTCGGACGGCCATATTTATTCAACTCGAGTGGACTTTCCTCCCAGCGCTACTCACTGTGGATCAATATGTCATCGGCGCAAGCGCACGAAAGTCCCTGGTCGTCTAGACTCGTTTCTGGTTTCAGGGTCTAGGTCTACAGCGTGCGTGGATAAAGTCACCGAGCACGAGACAGGAAGTATTTTGAACCGGCTGATAGTTCATCAATGGGAAACTCTATGTCAATTATCATTATCTCTGTTTTAGCTCGTGATGGAGTCCCTGACATGGAGTTGGTGGACAGTATTTAGGGTTACCCCGGTCCCGTACTCTGTCATGAATTCGCGGTGAATGAATCACTGTTTTTGGTAGCGGATCGGCACCCAACGAAGAATCGTGCCCTGATCCGCGGAAGACTTGGCTTTTTGATAACTCTTTTTGAGATTTTCTTCTTTTTTCTTTTACTTTACTTGGAACAGCTAGTTTAGATTTGACGTTGATGCTCTAATCGGTATCCCGATGGGTAAACTGCGCAAATTGGTTACTCGGTAGTTGCAGACACTTGGAGCTTTTGGATGTCAATTTGGTCGGTTATGCGATTTGGTTTTAAATTCCCTATGAGAAGTCCACGGTTCGCGGTGGGGCGGAAATTTGTAAGCGACAACTTAGGTGGAAGTAAAGTGAACTTAGGCTGGCAGTTGGCGAACGAGCCGCGCCATGGATTGCCTATGACCAACTGCACTGGTTCCAGGAACTGCTGCAAGGTCCTAGTCAGTTTTACCAGGTGGACTAATCGATAAATCTGCGCAGGTGCCTTTATCGGCTCCAAGTAGTCCTGGCGGGAGAAACGATCGATTTTTGGTGAATTGACTTTGAGAATCTAGGTCAACCTAGGATACTCCGGACATCCGTAGATGCTGCGGCTTCTCTATATTATTACAATCTGTCATATGATACATTATGATTATGTAAGTGTTAAAAATATGAGACATTTTTTATATTAGCTCTCAACGACGCCTTTTGCAAATATACAGGGTGTAACATACACACGGTGGTCAAGGTTTATACGGCGCTTTCTTTGGTGAAAAAGGAGTCGAAAAGTCCTGTACTATTTTTTTCTACAGCGCATAGTTTTTCTGTAATAACTAATGGAAGCACAGCCAATCAATCGCGTTCTCCAACGGAATGTACAGCGGAGAGGACGCTGGAAAGCTCCGTTCGGCTTCTGCGGCGTCGCAGTTTTACCGGCGTCCTCTCCGTTGTACATTCCATTGGAGAACGCGATTGATTGGCTGTGCTTCAATTAGTTATTACAGACAAAATATGCATCGCAGGAAAAGATAGTGCAGGACTTTTCGACTCCTTTTCGTTCCATGCATTCAGCTGTCTGCTATGTAGAAATTTTAGCGGCGTCCTCTCCGCTATATCTTCCGTTGGAGAACGCGATTGATTGGCTGTGCTTTAATTAGTTAATACAGAAAAAATATGCATTGCAGGAAAAGATAGTGCAGGACTTTTCGACTCCTTTTCGTTCCATGCATTCAGCTGTCTGCTATGTAGAAATTTTAGCGGCGTCCTCCACGCTATATCTTCCGTTGGAAGACGCGATGGATTGACTGTGCTTCAATTAGTTATTACAGAAAAAATATCCATTGTAGGAAGAAATAGTACAGGACTTTTCGACTCCTTTTCGTTCTATGCATTCGACTGTCTGCGACGTAGCAATTTGACCGGCGTCCTCTCTGCTGTACGTTCCGTTGGAGAACGCGATTGATTGGCTGTGCTTCAATTAGTTATTACAGAAAAAATATCCATTGTAGGAAAAAATAGTACAGGACTTTTCGACTCCTTTTCGTTCCATGCATTCGGCTGTCTGCGATGTAGAAATTTTAGCGGCGTCCTCTCCGCTATATCTTCCGTTGGAAGACGCGATGGATTGACTGTGCTTCAATTAGTTATTACAGAAAAAATATCCATTGTAGGAAAAAATAGTACAAGATTTTTCGACTTCTTTTCGTTCCATGCATTTGGCTGTCTACGACGTAACAGTTTTACCGACGTCCTCTCCGCTGTACATTCCGTTGGAGAACGCGATTGATTGGCTGTGCTTCAATTAGTTATTACAGAAAAAATATGCATTGCAGGAAAAAATAGTACAGGACTTTTCGACTCCGTTTTCAACAAGCATAGCGCTGTATAAACCCTGACCACAATTTTTGTTACACCTTGTATACAACTTAAATGATAGTGTAACAATGGTGCATATTCATCCATGAAACCGTTTATTTTATTTTATTTTTACTTCATACCAGGAGACTACTAGTTTTAATAAGACTTAGTATTGTTTTTAAGAAACATTCTTCAGGATTATTAAAATTTGGTATTACACAGTATTGAACGGCGAATCTGAGGATAAATGGCGATCACAGGTATCGTGAAACTGCTTAATAGGCTTCCGGTAGATAATGTGTTAAAATTATTCATTAATTTAGTTGCAATAGCCTTTTGGGGCGAGAAGTTTAGTATGGCCCTCGGAACCAAATAGTTGTGGTTTTTACGCTAAAAAAACGGTTTCGTGATATTTCCCAGCTATTGATAGAAGGCCTTGAACTTGACCGAGACGCTACCACGTCTCTTGATAAGAAAATCGATACCATCGCGCATGTATGTTGCAAATTGGTCTTGTCTAGTGCATACATGGGTAGATAGGGTAACGACGAAAATAAATCCGAGCTAACTATCCTAGATATCAACTACCGTTTCTCTTTTGAGATATTCGTATCATATTTCGAGATTTGTGTAAAAAAGGAACGTGGATTACAACTATCCTCGATAACACTTCAGCTCCCTTTTAAGCTATCACAACTGGTGGGTTGTTGTTGTTAAATTGCATTATTGAAATTTACAGCCTTGGAAAGAAAAAGTACTATAACATATTTTTAAAATTTTGTAAGCCTCTTTTTTTAATAAATCGGAATCTAATGGGGTAGTAAATGCAGTAGGGTGTACAGACACTTTTTATTCTTTATTTCGTTATATATGTCGTACTACATCAATAGAATCGTAATATATATTAGAGATCGTCTAAGGTGTAACATAAAATATTGTCGCAAAATCTTTTAACTAGATTTGTATCATTGAATGTGATGATTATATCATTGATAGTGAGGAAACACGAAATTCTTGAATTCTAGTACAGCAGTATGAATGTCCTGGTATTGATAGTCATTGCATCACATATCGTTATCACTTTTCACATTTTGGTGTTCATTATAACGAACATTTTAATTTTAAATCTCATTGAGATTTTAAAAAACACGACGGTTAATCACGAGCGATCACGTCTTAAAAATTGAAATTATTAATGTATCAATGAAAATGAGAAAGTATCATACAAAATTGATTAAAAGTGATCAACTTTCGTTGATCTGTGACGGTGTGATCATTCTCATTTGCTGGAAAATCGGTCATCAATAAAATTTTACCAAACTTATTCTAATCGAGTTCTGTAACAATTTTTTTGATATCACGTTGATTGATAAAATTAATTATACCTACTATACCCATGGGACAATTTATAAAGATAGAATTGTTTACCATATCCTGTGGAGCGTTCAACCTGAGACACCATTGTATACAACAAATAAAGCATTTTAGAAAAAACAAAAAGTTTCTTGATGTCGAGGGGGAAGTATAATGGTAACGATCATTATTTATTTCAAGTTCATTTCATGGTCAACTTCAATTGTTTAAATGGAAACTCTATTTTTTTCATTTCGACATTGTACTTTGTGGGAAAAAGAAGTAATTTTCGTTTAAAACATTTTTTTAACCGCGTAAATGTTGCAAGATGATAATAAAAATGATGTTAAGAACTTTCCGTTCCGAGTTACATTGTTCAACAGCTCCTTTTTATTATTTACGACTTTATGTATGTTAAGGAAAGTCGTCATAGTTACAGCTTTTCATGTCAATTAAGTCTATTATCCGAGCAAGTAACGTTTACAAATTCCAATGTACTCTTTTGTTGTCGCAGAATCGTATTAAACCACATTCATTCATTAGCTTTTGACAAGTGCCGGAAGATCTCATTAAAATCTTTCTCGTCATATAATTCGTTAAGTGTTCATTTTAATTGCAATTTCAGTGTTAGGTAAAGAATTGGTTATACAGTTATCACTTGCAGAAAAAATTGAAATCATTTTCAAATTTAATTATTATTGCAAGTGATTAAATTCTTAAAATCTCCATTAAAACCTTTTTCGTCATATGATTCGTTAAGTGTTCTTTTCAATTGCAATTTCAGTGTTACGTAAAAAATTGGTTATACAGTTATCACTTGCAGAAAAAATTGAAATCATTTTCAAATTTAATTATCATTGCAAGTGATTAAATTCTTAAAATCTTCATTAAAATCATTTTCGTCATATGATTCGTCAAGTGTTCTTTTCAATTGCAATTTCAATGTTAGGTAAATAATAGGTTATACAGTTATCAGTTGCAGAAAAAATTGAAATTATTTTCAATTTTAATTATTATTGCAAGTGATTTTTAAGGAAATGCAAGGGTAAAGCTCAAGGAAAGGAAGCACTGAGCTTCTGTAAAGTCCACTAGATTGGAAAAGATGGTCCAATTGCATGGCCTCCTAGATCACCAGATCGCACTTCTCGTAATTTCTTTTTGTGTAATATTCTTAAAGAATTTCCCAAAAAGTTTCAATCCCTCCACAATGTAGGACGAAACGTATTAAAGAAACATGTAGAAAAATCGATGGACTGACGTTAATGCAATATCATCAATCTTTTATAACGCGCGTTAAGAAATGCATTAATGTTAAAAATTACCATTTTCACCTTATTAAAATGATGAAGGCGATTAATTAATTTGTAACTGTGAAGACTTTCCTTAACCGACACAAAGATTGACTGATGTAAATAGCAAAATGGTGCTATTTAACAAGGTAACTTGAAATCGAAAGTACTTAACATTATTTTTATTATTATTTTACGAAATTGAAGTCGTGTAAAAATGTTTTGAATGAAAGTAACTTCTTTTTCACAAAACACAATGTCGCGATAAATAAATAGGATTTCCACTAAAAAGATTGAAGTTCACCTAGAAATGACCTTGAAAATGAAACCTGAAATAAGTAATGATCGTTATCATTTTACTTCTCCCTTTGACATCAAGAAACTTTGAAATGACAATTTTTTCTATATAAAGCTTTGCTCAAAGTATACGACGGTATCTCAAGTTAAATTTCTCAACCGGTATATGTACACTGTATAATCGTACATACACATATGTTGTATTCTAATGCATCCTTTCTATCTTTATATGTAATGTACAGGTGATAGTAGGTAATGTAACATAAAAGAAAACCGTAATTGTTCACAAAAAGTTATTTCTTTACACCGGCTTGGCGGTATTAACAATAATCACAAATATTGGAAGCTCATTGTCGTCATTGAGACCATGATGCTCATTACATAAATGGCGTTTCTAGGAAACCCACGAACGAACATCAGTAAATTGAGACTGCCCATGGAAATGAGCAATACGGTATTAAACGTACGGTACATGTAATTTGATTATCTATGAAGATTTAACAATTCAATTAGCGAGATATTATAGAATAACTTCCAAAGGGAGACACCCGTTGGTAGACTTTAGAAAAAGCGTTAAAGGTTCAGAATATGTCTGGTTTGTTAAGCTCGAAGCATGCGATAATTGCGTTTTTGCTTGGTAACGCAGGATCAACTGCATAATAAACAACTAATTGGGACCTATGTTGATCCCAATTTTTATTAAAGCGCGTGGGTAGATTTTGATTTTCCATTCGTTTCATGTGATCGAAACTTCGTTTGACAATCAAACAGCGACCTTGTGCTATCAGGTGGTATCTCATTTATCAATTTCTAGAGTTAACGATGTTTCCGGTTGGGTCCATATATATCCGGTTTTTGTCATGCTGCAATGTGCGTTGTAGTATCTACCCGGTGCCCTACAATAAGACCATCTCGGGCAACGGCACCGGAATTTGTTGCGAAATTCCTCCTTGCATACTTCGTTCCACCAGCATGTCCTCTAAGAAACGGTGTTATTAATTTCTGCTACCTTTCCTCTTAGACGTAGTTATTTGAAAGTGACCATACACGATATGAAAAATTAATTTCAATACCTCTGCCAGGTACCCCCTCACGCTCTGATCGCTGTAATTCCTCTTTGTAAGGATATGCCTTGCATTTACCGAATATACTCTGGTGCATAATGCCAGGACCAACAGTAAGTACAACGTCGTTCTGTCCTGCAAATGAGAAAAATTGTATCAAACCACATAGATTGAAATTCTAATTTGAAACGTAGAATTTTCAAGGATAGATAGCCCCATTAGAATCAATGTTTCTTCTTAGACATCTCTCAATATTGAATTTAATAAGATAACCCATTTTATGAGTCGGCATTCATTTATTTGAAGACTCAACGATTTTCTAGGTGACCACTGGTTCATAACGCAAATTTGTGAAAAACTAGCTGATTGTACGGCCTCAAGTGGTTGTTAAAGGTACATCGGTACTTCCATCCTGATCCAGGATTGTCGTGGGCGGAATACTAATACGCAACAGCTGTTCACAGCAGATACCTTGATCAATGAGCGTGACGTAACAGCCTTGGTGGTGCTAGATCGCAGCCATTCCAGCCAATGATTAATTTCACACAGAATTTACTTACGTCCTCGCGCATCTTCACTGATCGGCCGCTGCACATTACGTGTTGGATGACATACCACGAGTTCGCATGAAAAGGGGTTATTTCTTGGAAAATAGTACTATTCGAGAGGCATGTCTTCCAGGAGATAAGATTCTAAGAGGAAACCTGGGCCGAGTCGCGGACATGCGTACTACGTCGGCTCTGCCCTTGTTGGTGTCGTTTGAGGTAGGTCTGTAGATTCGTCCCAACCGGAATTATTGATTTTTTACTCTCTCGTTTTGAAGATTTCAAAGTTTATTTCGGTTGAAAACTCTCTAAGAGGGTCTTTATATTTTTCATTGCTTCTAGACAATAATACCATGAAGTATATAGGATGAAATGTGACATGAGATAGAGATTCATGAGATTAGTGATACTTGTACGGTCAAGGCAGGGAAATCTAAAACTGAATTTAGTTTAAGGAAAAATAAAAATTACGCGAGGGGAATTATTCAAGAAAGGGAATAACCCTTTTTATTTCCACGGGTTATAAGACGCGAGAATACGTTAGATAATTGGGGCTGGAGATTTAAGGTGAAGTGAAACACGTCGAGGAACTTGGTCGACGTCGATAAAGAAGATTTTTCTAAATGCCTACGTTGCCGACGTTCGTTTCTATATCGAATTATATTGGGTATTGTACCAAATGGCATACTCCACCTGTCGTTTTCGTATAGTAATTATAAAGAAATAGAAGTAAAACTCCAGAAATCCTCTGGATTCATGCTTTCTGGAGCCCTAATTTACTGCAGAGGGACCCCCTGCGCCATCTGTGATTTCCAGGTCAATTAAATCTTCACTCCGAGACCTCGTATTCCCATCGTTTTGGCATAGAATCGCATACAACACTTTTTTTGCCTTTATCCCGTTCAAATGCGAGTTTATCGATTACCAGACTGTTCTAAATTGTCGTAAAATTGTCCTGACCCTTTCGATTCTCATATCAGAGCCTTCGATAATAGTATATCCATCAAAATATGAGAGCTCGACGCCATTTTGGTTCTGGTCTGGGCTGAGTTAACAAATTTGTTTGAAAAATCCAAATTTTCAATGTGTCACGACAATTCTTAGATGGTCATGAGTCATGTATCAAAGTTTCGGACAGTTTGGTCCAATACCCTTAAAAAAAAGTGTTGTATTCAAATCGACTGATTTGAAGGGTGTTTCACTTCACCTTAAGGTGACGTAGAAGGTTGTTTTAGCAGATCGATGACGATCGAATTCCTCAGATACAATTTTTTTTTAACCCTTTCGTGTCTAACGTCGGATATATCCGATGTCCATGAACTCGTTGATGTCGTCACGGTTGCGAAAGGATTAAAGATGCATGAATTTATTTGCCTGAAACTTTACCACACGATTATGAAGGTATCGAATATTGTAACGGACAGTAGAAAATTACATTAAAAAAATTTATTTACCTAAGACTAGAGTAAACATAACGTCCTGGTCACATATTTTGCTGTTATTCATTTATAGAAGGCTCAAAAGTAACAATTCAAAGTGATAAGGATTATTTTTAATCATTTAAAACAAATAGTAATAAAAAACGACACTTTCAGGTGCAAAAAGTGGGAAAAAACGTATTTGCGAATTTGGGGTTCACAGGGTGTATTCCTTCCTCAAATTTGTTTACTTTACACTGTTAATTTTCCTCAATTTTATTATTGTGGGCTTTGTTACGACTTTTCCGAATGATCGGCTCTCTGATGACGATTATTTGTTTATCTGCTATTGTTTTTCCCTCCAATTTAATTTTGCAGAGAGCAGCGCCAGCTTTTAGAAACTACTTCCTGGACTTGACATTTATCCGTATATAAGCGTTCTCTGTTTGCTTCACTTTCATAGGCAAAGTCAGGACTGGGTAATTTCACGTTTTTCGAGGTTTTTGATGTATATTATGTAAATCAAGTAGTTTACAAGAGGAAACGTAGAAAACCAGGAGAAAACGTATCAAATATGGCGGACAAGACAGACGTAGGGCATGCGGTATCCGCTAGGTTATAAACATCCATCTTGTCCATTTGTTTCATCCCATAATTTACTTTTAGGTCTTCCACCTTTATACATGTTTATATAAATATTAGATACGAATCTTACGACTTCAAATAGCCGTTATAAACAACCGTCAAATGCACATATATGCATACGTTTCAAATTTCCAAGGCTGATTTCGAATGTGCGCGGATTTATGGATGCGTAACGCGCAATCCCCTTAATAGCCAATGAGAATCTCTCTTAGAGGTAAATAGGTGGACTCTCATTGGCTAATGACGATATTGCGCATGCGCTTTGCACATTTAGTTTGGGGTAATATACTTCGTGCCTGTGTAGAAAATTAGGGATATATTATACTTTGTAAGTATAGAAAACCACGTATATTACTTGACGTATTATACTTACCCAACCTTGGGAATGTATTATACTTTGTAAGTGTAGAAAACCACGTATGTATATTACTTGACGTATTATACTTACCTAACCCTGGGTATGACCATCACGAGTGCGTGAGCCGCTAGCGGCGACTGTTAGATGGCACCACCATCGCGATTGCGTGAGCCCCTACCATAAATGTGTTGCGCCTAGAGTTCGAAAATTCTCGGCAATATTAAATTGGAGAAGGTAACTGTGAAACATACCGTAAGTTACCGGAAACATTGAGAATTTAAGAGAACGTTAATTTTGTTATTTATACTTTAGGTTTCTTCGTTAAAATAACTTTTTTTTTTCAATCAACTTCAAAGTTCAAGCTAAAGAGTAATAATTACTATTAGAAAATATTGATTATAGCGTCGTATTTACCTCCAGCTAAAAATATTCACGTATGTACAACTTCACGGAAAATTCCATGCGATTTGTTTCAAACGAACTGATATTTCATTCTGCGACGAAGCGAATGGGAGGTTTTGATTGGCTACGGAGAACGTACAACGGAAATTCCCCTCTACGATGTTTCTCTATAGCTAATCGAAACCTCTCGTTCGCTCTGTTGAAAAATTCAAATTCTCGATCAATTTACAACTACTTTTTACAACTTCTCGAGAAATTACCGATAAGTTACCGGGAATTTCTCTTCGTTTCTGACGTAACTTACTGGATTTAGAACTCTAGTTGCGCCGCCACTGAGGGGTAACAGGTAGTAAGTGCGTTAGCTGTTCGCATCCTCCACCGGGGGCAGCACAGGGCGGGATCGCGCGATCCTGCAACCTTGCGCGTGAGCAATCTCACAACTCATCTTTGTGGTGAGTTCGTTTCCTTTTTCGGTTTGTGAGGAAAAATAACTTGAATAATGGCATCACGTGCATTGTTAAAAGTGTGTATCGGAGATGTTCTTCATAATAATAGAATGACGTAAGATTCAATCACATTTAATTTATTAGGCTGATATTTATTTAACTCCATCTGATCCTAACCTCTCCATTTTATGTAATAGTCTTACTTATCAATAAAATGTCAGTTTACGTTTTATTATTGCCTCGTGGACAAATAGAACTGGTTGAATTTGTCACAGTAGTATTGTAATGAATTTATAAATATTTTTTCTTAAAGTAATATCATGTATGATCGTCTGACACATGGTTAGGTTAGCCTATGCCATTTGGGTCTAAATTACATGGAAATAAATTTCATCTCCTGTTAATTATTTTTATGACAAACTGAATTAATATATAAAGTTACTTGTTAAGAGTATTCCATACACTAGACAAGCATTTCAAGAAATAAAAATAGCAATTTGCTATTCCTAAGTTTGACTGGAAATATTTTAATCTGTATATTATCTTCTATACAGATTTGGCAGAACGATTTTTACTACTAGTTTGAATAACAAATCTATTGTACCAAAGGATCCTGAGTTAAAACACGATGAAGAATATCTCTTGCCACCGGCAGAACAACAATATCGACAAAAGCTAAGGGGGGACATCGCAATTCCCGTACCTGAAAATGTTGGTATCGTATCGGGTGTCCCCGAAGAACACATAAAAACTCGTAAAGTTCGTATCTATCAGCCAGCAAAGAGTGCCATGCAGTCTGGAACGAATAATATTGATTTCTGGCAGATCGATTTTGATACACGCGAACGATGGGAAAATCCTTTAATGGGATGGTGCTCTACGTAAGTTGATTGAAATTACTTATTTACTTTTAATGTGTAGTTGTAAATTGATCGATATTATGATGACACTTCTGGATTGTATATTTTAGAGGCGACCCAATGTCAAATATGAAGGTTGACTTTCAAAGCCCGGAAGAAGCGATAGAGCATTGCCAGAAAATGGGTTGGGATTACTACATTCAAAAGCCTAATCGTAGTCAACCAAAGCCACGTACGTACGGTATGAATTTCTCTTGGAACAAACGCACCAGAGTGTCCACGAAGTAAGTCAAAAATACATATATGTAGTCGTCGTTGAACATTGTAATGGTGTATTTTAATAATTTCACTTGTATATAAAGAAGCGTATCTAATAAAAATGCAAGACCTTTAGGTTTAAATAGTACACGTTCGTCGCTGTTTTCATGGTGATAGACGTATCACGGTAGCACCTTAGCGCTCGACCTCGTAATACGATTACGAAAATAATATGAAGTACACTCGTTATTAGCAATAAACTCGATTATTTATTGTTTAGGAATAATTATATAATAGTTTTATGATATAATAATTTTATCGTATTATTAGTAAAACAAGCAAAAAGTTCTTATACAATAAAGTCTAACTTTGTTCTTGCCCTCGTCGCTTTAAATGATGCACTGAAGTATCACTAATATTTATATATATATTTATAATAAAATATCTGACTAGGTAACTATAATATTGCTGATTCGATACGTGTCACCGAACCTAAGAATCGTAGAAATCACCGCAGGCCTTTCGAACCCTAAACAATCGTCAACAGCCAATCTACAAATAAAGTACAAGGAAAAATACCACGTTACAAAAATACGTAAAGGAAACGTATTTCGTCTCGTAAATCCTTCCTAAAATGGTCAACTGCTACTCAAAAATCTTTATAGAAGTACGCATTAGGTTGGAGTCTCACTGAGCGCGTCGGGTGTCACAAAGACCGCGGCGGGTCAACGCATCGAAGATGAGAAACCAATCGGAAATGCGCTTAATCTCGTTCGTTACTTGCATTGTTTTCTGGTCCCCGAGGCGTCACACAGTGGCGAAAATGACGAAAAAGCTGGTCAAAATTATTTGTTTGCTTGAATGTCAATTTTTTGTATTATAACATTATTTTTCATTATTCAGGAGGAAAAATGAAGAAACGAAAAGTTAGCCAAATAAGAGTACCCTAACGAAATTTATCCATGTTATAGTCCTAACTTTTCTAATTTCGTATCTTATCGTTGTTTTGCACATTTTTGAGTTCTCAAATTATATTGCTAAATGTAAAACTGTACAGATGTTAAACATAAGAGGGGAATCATGGGACCAACAACGTGCATTATGAAGATACCTTACTTCTTTCTACTTGTAGAACAAAGACAGCTGATTCTTTTTAATTTCAACGAACAATGGCATAAGCTAAAGATTCTTTTTTGAAACGCCGCGGAATATCACGGGATTCATAACATTTTCAGTAACTGAAAACAAAATGTAAGAATGCCGCATTAGAATAAAGGAATAATTTTATGCGATATTTAAAACTTTTTAGCCAATACAAAATAAACTTTGAAAGGCATGAGATATTATATGATTCTCCAGCAATATCCTACAATTTACGGAATTGGAAAGACACTCTAAAAAAACATCACGCTTACTCAAACTTAGTAAAATTTTCCTTCTTACAGACCGTTGTCAGTACCCACTGAACACTGTTATATAACTGTTGGGTAAATGTTACATCTTAACTAACTTGTCTAACTAACATGTTATGTAGCATAAAAGTAACATGGAAGTTAGATATTAGTTATTATTTCCCACTCGGTAAGGTAACATGTTATGTAACATGTTATATTAATGTTATAATTTCAGTTACTTTAAAATAATATTAATTTATCAAACATTTAATAAAAAGGATCACGTCATTTTATCCCAAATTACATAATTTTTGGTTTTTAATTATTTTTTGGTCTCTTGACAGTAGTTAGATATTAAATGACAAATCAGACTTTCAACGAAATTATGTAATGTTAAACTATCTGATTTTACTTAAAGACAATTAGGATTTCATTCGACTAGCAAACAATGACTGATAATGTATATGCGTGTACGAATTAAAATCACTTTTTCATACGAGTAGAAAACAAAATATGACGTATATTAATCTTATGACATTTGACGATGAATTATGACAATGACGATGACGATGACGTAATAAAATAAATAACAGCCCCAATGTAATTCTGTTTTGTTACAAATATGTGCTGCATATACACAGTAATATCAGGACAGTAACATAGTGTAAGATGAGAGTAACAAAGTTACGCTACATTTATATAGATATGATATTAACAAATGTTATGTAGCCCGTTAGCTCCATGTTACATAATCGTTAAGTTCCTGCATTGTAACAAATGTCATGTAACCAGTTAGCTCTATGTTACGTATCTGTTAGGTTATTACATTGTAACAGACGTTGTTATTTCTTAGTTTTAAGTCACATAACTGTTAGGTTTGGTGTTCAGTGGGTAGTTCGTCCGAACGTCAATATTACATTGACGTTCCGAACCGTACATAACAATTAGGCTTCCATCGTTTTGGCAATAAATGTCGGAATTACTCCTGTACCCTATCTGACGATCTGATTCTAAATTTCAATCTGTTTCCAAAATACAGATTTCTTTTTTCAGGTTTTGGCCAGCTGTTTCGTCATTTTGCCGCTGTGCGTCGCTCCGTGACTCTGGACGTGTTCAGTGAGAATCCGGCTGTAGGTTAACCGTTTGAGTGGCACGTGTCTTTGCTGTTTTCCCGTCCAAAAGTGTCAAGGAGCGCTTTTTTGCTTGTCTTATTCCCTCTCCAAAAGTGCCAAGCGGCGCGATAGCGCTTGTCTTATTCCCCGATTAAAAATGCCAAGGAGCGCTATTGCGCTGTTTTCTGCTCTATACGGTAAGCGGTAATGTTCGACTGAAATTAAAATTCGTTCTTTTACCAGCTGTCTCATTCTTTTACTTTTACCTAAAATGGAATGGTAACCGTAAAGTCGCGCATCGACGGAAACCGAGCGTGTCGCGGTTATCGGCTTCGCAACCTAGAACGCTGGCGCTGTTCGAGCGACACAGAAGAAGCGCAAAATCGCTCCTTGGCACTCAAACGGTTAATGACGAATCATCGAAGGTGCAACAGGTGATCACGCTTCTCAGGTTCGGACTAGATCCGTTCTTTTCGTAGGCGCCCCAATAAGGGCCATATATTTAACATGGATCACGCACGAACGCACGTGCGTATTCCCACCGGCACTACAACAAGAAATCTCGTTATTATGAGCTGATCTTGACGCCCTGGCACAGGATGACCATGATAAAAGTGAACATCGGCGTTAACCAAAGCATCCCCTCGCTCTTTTAAGAGGCTATACCACCGTGAACGTCGAAAAAATGACACATTTTTCACAATTTTTCTCTCTAGATGTACTGCATATAATGGCACAAACTTTTCTTTCATGAAAGGTCTAATGTAGGAGAATACAGGGAAATTTTTCTTTTTAGTAAAAAATATGTATTTATTTATTTATATATTATTACAAACGCAGAGGAGTAAGAAAAAGTTGGTGATCTGAAACAAAACATTCAAAAGGATTCTTAATCTGTAAGGCCGTCGCTATCGCCTGTATCTTATTTGTGGTAAAATTTTAATTTTAACTGATACTGTTGCCTCGATTATAGCACAAGAAACGTATTTTTTTTTACACTTTTGCAAACAAACGCCATTTGTTAGTTTATAATATAAGTTAATAATTGAGGTACGGGCGATAGCGATGGCCTTACAGATTAAGAATCTTTTTGAATGTTTTGTTTCAGATCACCAATTTTTTCTTACTCCTCTGTGTTTGTAATAATATATAAATAAATAAATACATATTTTTTACTAAAAAGAAAAATTTCCCTGTATCTCCTACATTAGACCTTTCATGGAAAAATGAGGTTTGTGCCATTATATACAGTACTTTATGAGACAAAAAATGGTGAAAAATGTGTAATTTTTTCGACGTTCACAGTGGTATAGCTCCTCAAAAGGAATGCAAAGAACCAGCATCGATTACGCGCTTGCGTTCGTAGATGAATCATCTCTCGATCGGTATATCACAAGCCAACAAGAATTAATCAAATATCTACACGTGCTTGAGCTGAAAGTATGCGCCTGTCGTCTTTATGTACAGTGAAACGCGTGGGAGATCGTCTTGTGCTCGCGACTGCTACTTTGACAAGACTCTGCCGGGTGTCAACTCCGGAATCGCCTTGGCGATCGTCGTTGACTTCAAATCGATCTATCTGGCCGTGATTTTCTCTTCGAGGCCTTTCACGCTTCGCCAAAGACCAGCCGAAAGCTGATTTGGAAACGCAGTCACGCTTTGCTCGGCAATCGAACCCCCTAGATCGTGGTCATCATCCGCAGGTATTTCCGACTCTCTTGGTCGTACAATCGTCGGCAATCGAACTCGGGACTAATTGAGTTGATCGTTTTTTCTTTTCTTTCCCCATGCCGAACGAACCGGTGGAGGATGAAACCAGGACCAGGTCCTGGAACCGATCGCATTCGACTCGGACCCACGCGAGTGGTCCCGGAGACGATCCCGAGGGCTCGGTCGACCGTTTTATCCCGGCTCTTTCTCTTATTTTTCCTGGTGTATATACGTATGTACACATGTACAGCTAAATTTGTCGGTAGGAGGAGATTAGATTGGATTAGATTCGATCTACCGGACCTGAGAACCGGAAGTCTTCGAGATTGCTGGATAGGAGCCTACGGAGGCTTTCAAGCCAGTCTAACCCGAGTTTCGGGTGGCCAGGTTTTAGCTCATGGGTTCTCGAGTTTTTCAGTAAGGATATCTTAACAGTTAAAGTGGATTAGTGCGGCGAAATGTCGGATTTTACTGTCGAAATACATCCTTGCCCTCGGAGAGGACTTTCCTACTGGACGTTTACAAATGGCGGCTTGACCGTATGTCTGGAATGGAGAGGAACAAACGAAGGCTTCGACCTATTCTTATATACGTACAATGTCTATACGAGTGGGGAGATATATCCTGCACGTTTCTGTACGTTATTGCCTTTTTTTCTCGCTTTTTGCCCGTCCCGATGTTGTCGATTTCTCGACACACCCGTCGATGATCATTTTCCTGCGGTTGTGTACCCCGATGTCGTATCGCGAAACTTCGAACGCGGTTACTATTTTCCTTCTTCATCGTGTAGGTCTTATCAGCGACGTTAATATCTTGGACTGCAGGTTATCAAAAAGAGCTTCCCGTGATTGGAAGTCTTTCTTGCAGCTTTTCTCGAAGGCGCTCTCCTCGCAAGGGGCCTTACAAGAAACGATAGTAAAACGTGTTTAACGGCTACTTAAGTTAACGTTAATAATTATTGAAGACATTAATTAACGCCACTCCCACTAACGTTATATAGGCCTTTGATTGTAGATCTCGTTGTACAGGGTGATTCAAAAAAAGAATTTCGAACGCTTCCGTCTCGATTTCTTTCCCTTATTCGTTCTCGCCGGATGAGCGCGTTTTCTTACTCTCTCCCTCACTTTTTTGAGCCACCCGATACAGTAGTCATTACCTTCACC